TAACATGTCAGCTGATAGAGTTGACAAGAAAAAGCCCTGAAAGAGGCAGGTAAGATTTTTTTTTTTTAAAAAAAAAAGCAAACTGTTCAGAGCAGGGGTCCCCAACCCCTAGGTCACGGCCCATTAACTGGATGTGGCCTATTTGGAACCAGGTTGTGAAAGCGGGGCGCTGGCTCATTCATGTGTGTGCACACCAGCCCGCTGCTCGCACAAGTTGAGTGGCATGCATGCATGCACGCTGGCCCACTGCTCACACAACTCGATTTTCCTCTCATCCCCAGCCAGGCCAACAAGGCGCAAAGATTGGGGACCGCTGGTTTAGAGTTTTTAAAACAGCAGGTTAGGGAGAAAGGATATCATAAGATGATACCTACTGAAATATTATGGTATGTTTGGTTTTTTAAATTATATATATATGGTTATCTATGTCCCCACCCCCCTCCTCATGTGGCCGTGGATTACGAGCCCTAGCAATGCCGTTGAAAACGCTCCCATTGATAAGAAAATGAAAGTTAGTGGGGCAACATTGGAGAACGGGGGTTACGATAAGATAACTGCAATGAAATCTTGTGACGTAGGAGAAAGCAATGAGATGGCAACAGTGAAAAAGGACTATGGAAAGAGGGAAGGTGGGAGGAGAACAAGGAGGGGGAGTATCAGGAAGGAGGATGAGGAAAACAAACAGCGAAAACGTACAGGCTCCCCCAATCCACGGCCACATAAGGAGGGGGTGGGGACATAGATACAAACAAGGAAAACAAGAAAATAACGATCAGCAACACGGAAACTACAATCAGAGTGCAAGTGGATTGGCTGGGACCTGTAACGAGGTCCAGGAGCTGGGCGCAAAGAACGCCATATCCATAAATAGCCTCTCCCATCGACTGGAAGCTACCCTGACGATGCTGGCAGTTGCCGGCGAAAGCTTGGTGTTTTAACTTATTAAAACTTTTTATAGTTTTATATTTCCTGGTGTTCTTGCATTTTTGCTAGTTAAACATGAGCCTACCCAGGAATCACCTTTTTCTTTTTAGCATTCTTAAGAATATGAATATATATATATAGCATTAGAATATAGTTTCACACTTTGATATAACTAGCCAAACATATTAACTTAATAATTAAAAGTTTCCCATAAAATTCTGCAGGATACATTATCCATATATCTGAATTTGAAACAACATCAATATTTTTTTTAATTTCGTATCTCCGGTAGTCCCGAGTTTGGAGTTTATTTCAATAGAAATTAAATGTGATAAGGTTTTAGAATGCTTTCAAAGGACAAAGATGAAATATGTGTCATTTTGCCCCATGAATAGAAAATAGTGGGAAAATAAAAGATACCAGAATTGTTCCACTTTGATGATGCTTTGTAGAAATGCACAAACATTGAGCTTGCCTGTTGTATTTGTCATATTTGTATCAATTCAACTAGTTCAACTTATACTATATATTACTTCTAGCTCTGATGTTATTTATTTCTTGTATAACTGTGCAAAGTTGGAAAAATGCAATATTTTTCTACACATGATGTGGCAAAATTTTTCATCCTATAGCCATAAAACACACATTCAATATTTTATTTTCACTTGTATGTAATATGAAAGAAGAGATGGAGAATTTTTTCAGAGAGCTTTTACAGGACAGTTTTTAAAATATAATGCTTAGGAATAGGAAAACTTGCTTGTGAAAAATTGTAAAAACAGTTCAGGTGAGAATTGGATATCAAAACATAAAAAAATAATTGTAATATACTTGTACATAAATTTCCTGAGTATAAATTGAGAAAACGCCCTATCTACTGTATGCAGGAATTTTCAGCCCTAAGTGATCTGGTCATAAAATATGATACCACGTTACTTAGTGACCAGAAGTCCCCAGTTAGCAGAATTAAACTAATCACCATGGATGATTGAGCAAAGATTTCATATGACTGAAACTTGCAAATTCCTGCCAATTTCCCCCTTTGACTTTGCTTGTCAAAAGATTAGCTTGCAAATCAAGATCCTATGACTGAGGGAGCTGTAACTTCTCAGGAGCAGTCCCAAGTGCCGGGATGCATGGTAGAGAAATGTTTTGGAGAAAGTTTTCTAAATTTTATTCTGTTTATAGAGTCACAGTATGCATGGCACACTAATTTTTTTAATTGCCAGCATTAAGACAGGAATCTGCATCAAATCTGCACATAAAGCTTCTTCGTATATAGTAGGGAGCTGGAGGAATAGTGTATGAACCAGAAAGTCATTCTTCTACCTTGCTTCTCATACATTCTCTTATGAAAAAAGGGATTTCTGTTCAGTGCTAGCTTAAAGAATGAAATGATTATAAATGTTGAAATGGTTTTTAGATAGTCTTGTTTAAAGAGAAAAGAATATCACTTTCTTCCTGGGTGAAACGTGTTAGTGCAGCGTAGTTGAATCACGATGTCAACCCAACAAATTATTCACTTGATGAAAGTATAACAGGAGAAAAATCTTAACCAACGTGGCCATTTCTAACCTTTTCTAGCTTTGTTCACAGCTGCATACATCTTACAATAACACTATCTAGTTGACTACTGAAGTGTAAGATGTAGTACAGCAATTAGGTGTCTAGTTTCATAACACATATCTGCATGACTTGAACAAAATATAATAAAACAAATAAGAAAAAAAGATAGAAAAATGTGTGGCTATTTTTTTTTTTAAAAAATTACTCATTTCTCCTGCCTTATCAAGTGTCAACCCAAGAAATGAAAGAAATGCAGATAAAAACTCTTCCTCCCAACACATTATTTCTGTAAAATATGTGCAAATGATTATAGAATATAGATTATAGAATAAAACCATCATAGGACACATCTTTTTAAGTGCAGAAATCCAAATTAAAATATCTCTAATCAGTGGTTGTCCAGGTTTTGCTTGAACACATCCAGAAAAGAGGAACTCACCAACATACAGGGTAATTTATTCCACTGTCAGCCAGTTCCTATTGTAAGGAAACATTTTTCCTAACATCTAACTGAATCTGCTGCTGTGGCTGGAATAAGGATTCCATGTGCAATGAGGAAATGAGGTCAACAACTTTATTCAATAACAATCAGCTCTGTCCCACATGAGCAGATGGTAGTATTGGGATGATTAACAGCATTTATAAACACAACAGAGTACAATGTGTCCATTTCTTATCGATGTAAAATATGCTTTTGCCTTTTATGGTTAGCATCCACCTAGCATAGGATAAATGAATCTGATATGAGAATGTTAGTCATGTGCAATAGTTAGTTGTTTGCATTCATAACAACTATATAGAACTTTTCTACATTATGGGCAATAACACTTATCTTGTCTGATAAGAGAAAATTGACATGAAGCTCTCAGGATAATTTGGATGTAACTAGAAAGGGAAGATTAATCTTCTTTGGATATCATTGTAGAAGGTGTAGTGAAGCAGCCATGCAGAATAGATTCAGCTGTGCTGAGGGGAGAGGAGACTCATATTATGTTTAAACAACTGACTACTTACTGCACATGACTAATGTTCTCATTATTCAAATTATTTTAACTGAAACTAAAATGCTGAGATTTCACTTAAAAAGAAGACAGTATATAAGTAGATACGTACATAATTATAGATACTTTTAATTTGGTGGTATGGATCAGATGTGTTAAAATTTATTAGAAAAAGTTTTTAGGGCAGGTTTCTATAAATAAAATAGGAAAAGCCTAAGAAGTTTACTGTGACATTCTACATCAGAGGTCCCCAACCTTTTGGGCACTAGGGACCTGTTCTGTGGAGAGAGGTTTTTCCACGGACTAGAGGGTGCGTGGTTTTGTGTGCTGCTTACATCTCATGGATGGGGCTTTGTTTGTTTGTGCAGATTGGTTGCTGGCATGCTGTGGCCAGGTACTGGTCCACGGAACGAGGGTTGAGGACCCCTGTTCTATATTACTGATTTTAATTGATTGATTTTTTTATCTGACATTTCTGCTGCTATCATGGCATTTGCAGACCCCCTGCATGTCAACATTGGAAGATGGCTGGCATGGTGTTGCAATCCAAGCCCTCTTTGTACATGTGTGCAATAATTGATGTGCACCCCTAAGAGGCATCCCTGCCATCTTTGAACATACACAACCTCAAATGCAACTGGTTGTGATGTAGGAAAAGGCTCAGTAAAATATGGTACACAGGAAATACTACACCGAAGGAACATATGAGAAGTTGTGGGATGAAAATGAAAATGAAGTCTACATGGCAGGCATGGGGAAAGGATCTATATACCATCAGAGTCACTTGATAGTGAGATGGGTAGCATATAAATTAAATAAATACATGTGGATGGACCATGTCATCTGTCCTTTCTTATGCTAAAGTTCTAGACATATATATTAGGACTTGAACAAAAGTCATTTCTCATATTTGTAGAATCTGCTAGAGGAAACAGTATGGTTCAACTGGTATTGGATACGTAACTGCATTCTTTTCTGCTTTTTCAGTGACTCGATAGATCAACTAAACTTTCCTTATGGAAGGCCTAGCTTAGCAGTTTTATCCTTTGAGAGAAAAAAGAAGATGGCCCTTCCCTCATGTTTCCTGTACAATTTCTGTTCAGATCAATACTATATTCTTACCTAGTACAGATAGTACTGTATTTGAGGAAACAGACTAGTTTCAGGATTACAGAAGTATTGATATTGTACATTTACCCATATTCTCCAACTCCTTATTGTGATAGGATTCATCATGTGAGGCAGTTTTATTTGTTCATTGGCCTAAAAATTGTAAGAGAAAAGAATTTTCATGTTACATGGATTCAGTGGGATGTGTGCTTGTTTCCCCCATACAAAATACTAGTTGCTATTCATGAAAGTTGTTTCCTATTTGTATACCACCATTCATTTTATCAAATTATGTATGACCAAATCATGAGAAAATGTAGGATTTAAAAATAAAAAAGGTGTTTTACACACACACCCACATGTACAAAACTCAAATTCTCCTTTGCTTTCTTTTGCCAGTTGAATGGAGAGACCCAGATGAGTAACTAAATTAACTCAAGATATCTTCTGTATCTACCAAAAAGGAAAACAGATGAGGCATGTTAGCAGAATTCCAAGGTACAGTAGCCTGATTTATCATAATGTTAATAAAAATTATTCAGGTAATCTATTTTTTGTGAATTGTGTCCAAATGTCATGAATAACAAGCAAACTTGAATTTTTTAAAAAATAAAATTGCTTTAAACTGCTGGAACTCTTTATCATTTGAAGCACCATGACTTTTGTTTGATGTGGAATTCAGTATTTTGGTTCTAGGGATGGTTTAAACAAATAATAAATTTGCTAGTTTTCAGGGCTGTGAAAATCAGTTGTCTGAAAATATAGAAGCACAAATACAAAGATCAAAGGAGTTTGCATTATTAATTGTTTTGAAGATATCAGAGCAAAAATTAATAAGTAGAAAAATAATAGCATCATTAACAAAGGTTAGTTATATAATGTGGGTTGAAACCATGTTGGCAACTTTCCAGTAGACAAGAGCTACTTTTTAAAAAATGATTTTCTGAGCACCTGTGCAAGTACCAAGTACAAAGAGTTTTGCATTCTGCGATAAACTCTGTGGGTTTACTATTTATTTACTTATTTCTTTTTGTGCCTTTGAGTCAGTGTTGACCCCTGGCTGTTTCATGGAGAAGTCCCTGCAGTTCTTTTGGCAAGATTTCAGAAGTAGTTTGCTGTTGCCCCCTTCCTAGGGCAGAGAGAGAGAGAGAGAGAGAGAGTGACAGACACAAGATTCCCAAGCTGGCTTCGTGCTTAAGGTGGGACTGGAACTCACAATCTCCCAGTTTCTAACCTGATGCATTAACCATTACGCCAAACTGGCTGTCTTGGGCTTTCTTGACCAAAAACAAATTATTTTTACTTGTTTTCCTGGCACTGAATCTGAAAGTGTCTGGATTTTGCCAAAAAACTCCACCCTCTATGGACATGCCCAGACAATTATCAAGAATCCAAATCAACTCAGGAAATATTTATTTTTTTATTGCTGAGTTGATTGATCTTTGGTCTTCTGGGAAGCCAAAACTTTGGTATGTCAAATTACCATTTTCATGTTTGCTGAGTTACTTATAAAGTTCTTCTAAATTCTAACAAGAGATAAGATCCTTCCCCTCTACAAAGTATGTTTGAAGAATTCATCCTTCCATAGATTATGTCAGAGGTAAGGAATGGTAAAGAAACATAATGCCCCATAGAAGTAAGTTGCCTCTTTTCTTACTGGACCTTGGTGGCTAGTTGAAAGAAAAATCCTTTATTAATACAATTTATAACACTATTTTAAGCAGAATTTAAAACAAAGCAGAAATTCTAAATACCCTTTTACAAAAGAAATTCCTTTAAAATCCATTGGATTCCACTGAAAATATGTTCAAGATGGGGCATTAATATCCTTTACGTTAATTCTGCAAAACCATTGTATGGGCAAAGTCCCATATACGTTGATCCCATTGTACACTTCTTGTTAATGTTTGTGGTGTCACAGTTAGAATTAATGTTTGAAATCTGAAAAATGTTCCAAGTATTTCAAAAATATTAATTACGAACTAGGTTGAATTCATGTGGCATGTTTTCTTTGCACTTCTTGCCTCTTGCTAAAACTGACCTTATAACTTGAGGTTATAATATTGCATTTCCCATTGTCAATGCCATTATTGACCACTGGTACAACATATTAAGTCACTGACAATATCCTATGTAATTCAGAGATTTATACTATAAATTGCCATTTCTCATTCGGACTAGGCAGATAGAACTTAAATTCCAAAAATAGAGGAGAGTATTTGGTTGCTATATTTTTACTGTCGTGGCTGGTTCATATGGTGAATAAACAAAACCATGTGATAAAAGTGTTTGAAAAAAGCCTGGTGTTCAAATGTATGTTGTTATAATCATTGCAACAACTTGCTCAGTTTTTAAGCAACCTTATAGCATTCTCCTATGGAAGATCAGTATAATAATAATAATAGTAATAAAGTTGGAAGGGACCTTGGAGGTCATCTAGTCCAATCCCCTGCTCAGACAGGAAACCCCATACCATTTCGGACAAATGGCTGTCCAGTCTCTTCTTAAAAACTTCCAGTGTTGGAGGATTCACAGCTTCTGGAGGCAGGTTGTTCCACTGATTAATTGTTCTAACTGTCAGAAAATTTCTTCTTAGTTCTAGGTTGCTTCTCTCCTTGTTTAGTTTCCATCCGTTGCTTCTCGTCCTGCCTTCAGGTGCTTTGGAGAATAGCTTGACTCCCTCTTCTTTGTGGCAGCCCCTGAGATATTGAAACATTGCTATCATGTCCCCCCTCGTCCTTCTCTTCATTAAACTAGACATACCCAATTCCAGCAACCGTTCCTTATATGTTTTAGCCTCCAGACCTCTAATCATCTTTGTTGCTCTTCTCTGTACTCTTTCTAGAGTCTCAACATCTTTTTTACATCATGGTGACCAAAACTGGATGCAGTATTCCAAATTTGGCCTTACCAGGGCATTGTAAAGTGGTATTAACACTTCACGTGATCTTGATTCTATCCCTCTGTTAATGCAGCCTAGCATTATTATTATTCCCATCCTGGCAATTTCAGAAAGAATTAAGATATATCTTACGATTGCCTGGTGAATTTTGAGGCAAGGTGAGATTTGAATAGGAGATTTTCCTGGTTTTAATTGTTTTCACAGATTCTCTGAAATAAGCTGATATTCGGCACAGAAATGGTACCTGCAACCCTCTTTGGCGTTTGGTGTTGAACCTGGTAGCAGATTATGAGGAATGTTTGACAAAGCTGAGGCAATAAAACAAAAAGAAAAGCATATTTTATCAAGAGGAGAGAGAGCCCCTCCCCCCATCATATCCCAGCTGATTCTACATTGGGGAATAAATAGCTTCTTTTATGTTGAACAATGCTCACTGCATTTGCTGACAAGCATATGCTTTCTTTGTGTTTAATCAGCCAGGCTTCCAGATAAAAGAAGTTTGGGAAAAAGAGGGGGTGGTTTTCTTTATCACACGGTGAAGAGAGACAAACCACCACAGGATTTTCACCTCATTCTTTGCTTAATATGATAGAATTAAATATCTTCAATGTTATATTGCTTATATCTGGCATTCTGATACTATATCCGTTTTTTTATGCCAGCGGGGAATGAATCTAATCTTAGCTTTCTATAATCATCATTGATTTCTCTCTCAATGTCTCTTTCTCTTTCCTCTCTTGATATAAATTTATTAAAGGCATAGTGCTCCATCATTACAAAGAAAGAACCAATGGGGGAAAAAAATGCTAGTATATCCCTCAGCATGATACTATCTATGAATTCATTCAGATTGAAAAAGAGCCACCCCACTCTGGTTGGGTTAGCTTGAAGCTCTTCACGCTGCTGAGATTTCAGCTCTGCCTTAATTTTTTATATTAAAAAGGCAGTATGGACTAGACTGTGGTACGAGGACATGTATCATGAATACACATCATGCCATCTGTCTATTCCATTTGTCTGCATGGTTCTGCAGTCAAAACAAATCCGTCATCCCAGATTTGCTGCTGGTAGGTTGCCTGGGAGCCAGGATTACAACCGAGAACTCAATTTTAATGGTGGGAGAGGGAGAGGCACAATTGCTGCTTCTCATTTTATTGTTTGAATTCTGAATTATGTTTCTTTTCCCCATGTCCATAGCCCAAAGGAAATTAAGAGTCTTCTAAAAACTTTTCATAAAGCACATCAGTTCCTGTAGATAGGATCAAAGCTGCATCAGCTTTTGAGGAGGTAGCCTGAAAAATATTCTTAATGCTACTCATTCCATGTTTTTTTTTTTAAAAAAATCATCTTCATATTAAGTATCAGGAAAAAAAATCCAGTTGTTTTGAATCAGCCCCCAAATTGCAAAACCTGCCACTTTATATTGTGCAATATCCATCTCAAAAAAAACGAAATATTTTCTAGAAGAATTGTATTTGAAAAGAGTTACACCTGTGAATGTAACATTGTTTAGTGGACATATCAATGGAATCTAATAATTAATTATAATAGCAGATGACTTAAGACTTTCAGTGATTGTATCCTCTCCCATTTTATCTCATTGAAATGCCATTTCCATGGGATAAGATAAGATTAATGATTGTTCTGGAATTTTCATAATATCTCTTTGTCTTTGTCTGTTAGACACATTTTTTCTTTCTCTCATATACACACAAAGAGAGAGAAGGCTGGAGAGTCAGCAACTTGTAGATTGGCAACCTACAAAATAATAATATCAAACCAAACTTTTTAATTCATTGCATGTTTATATTGCGAAAATATGCTGCATGTCACATATCTCCATGCAGAAGATGTGTACATGATCAGAGTCTGCTGTAAATATGTAATTAGAGGCTAAAAATTTATTTCAAAATTACTTTTGTCTTGAATATGACAGTAGTCTTTGTAATATCTATAAATATATGCATGTTTTCTCAAACATAAGTATTATGCTACTGCACAAGGGAAATTTTATTTAAAAGGAAGCCAGTGGGTTTTTTCCCAATGTAAATATAGGAACTTATATATCTAGATTGATGAACACAACATTAATGTCACACATGTGTGTGACATGTAGTTTGCAAAGAGAAACTCTTCGGAGTTATATATTTTGTAAGAGGTGATTCAGACCTTTCATAATACCTATTACTCAGGAATAGACAGATCTTTCATTGTCATTTGGGGGATGTTATTTATATTCTGACTGAAGATTCATGTGTACATTGCTCACATTTTCATTGGTACAGTATGTATACATACCTAGTATTACCTAGTATACACATTTGAAACACTATCCAAACATCCCTTTTTGTGCTTGATTATCATTAAATTATACACCTTTATATGCTTCTTCAACCAAAAACAGAAGCACAAAATTCAGTTTTGCCAAAAATAGAGGATAATTACTTTCTAGTTAATGTATTAGAGAAGCTTCATTACTTGTCATAAGTAGCAAATCAGCTTTTCAACTTAAATATAATAATTACTAAATATTTCCATGTGTCAGAAACAAATATAGCATGATATTTTATGCTTTTATTAACAAATTGTTTTTAAT